CTTGTCAGTTTATGCATATCAAGAGAAGACAATTTTTTTTCGGTTATACCCACAGTATTTATTACTCATTTCAAATTATTTTCTCAAATCCAATAAAAATATGCATCAATTAATATGAGTATCATGGTAAATTATGCACTTCATTTATTATTTCTTAAGGGGCATGAAAAGTCAAAACGTGCCAAGTAAAAATGAACGGAGGGAGTACTTATCTATTTTAGCAAATCAAGAGAAAGACAACTTTTTTTCTTATTTTACTCTTATTATTAATTACTCAATTCTAAAATTATTTCCTAAGATTCTTTAAAATGCTATCATTACGAGGGGTTATAAGGTAAACTACATACTATAATTATTATTTACTAAGCGGCATGAAAAGTTAAAAATGGTTAAGTAAAAATGAATGGAGAGACTGACTTAAGAATGAAAGCGAGCTTGAATGGGATTTCTTAATTATTAAGTGGCCATTTGGTTTACTACCACTATTCATTTTTAATTAAATTCTTAACCAGATATAATGGTTTTTGTTAATATATGTTAACAAGTTGGGTATAACAGCTATAATTGGAAGGAAAATTATTTTACAAATAATTTTGAATTTGCTTGTAAAATAATATCCTCTCGAGCCTAGGGTGTTTAGGTGTGATGATCCAAAAGGTCATCTCTTGTTTTAGAGGGCGAATTCATATTCTGAGACCTTAAAAATCTTATTTTGTCTCTCCTCAATTTGTGTGCACAGTTTGGGCACGTATCCGAAAAGCCATTATGTGAAAAATTTAACAAATGATAATTTTTGGCTTAAAAAGATGAATTTTGTTGACTTCGGTCAGCGTTTTGGGTAAATGGATCCGGACCCCTATTCCGACGGTCACGGAGGGTCCGTACTAAATTATGAGACTTGGGCGTATGCCCAAAATTGAATTTCGAGGTCCATAGACCGAGAAATAATTTTTGAATAAAATTGTTAAGCTGAAAATATAATGGTTTTTGGAAATTGAATAATGTTTGATCTCATTGGTATCAGACCCGTATTTTAGTTCCAGAGCCCGGTTTAGGTCCGTTATGATATTTAAGCCTTATTTGTGAAATTTGGTGAAAAACGGAAGTGAATTGATGTAATTCGGACCTTTGATTGAGAAAATAGAAGTTTTGAAACTATCCTGAAAATTTCATGTGTTTTGATGTTGAATTAGTAGTTCTAGGTATTATTTTGGCGATTTGATTGCGCGAGCAAGTTCATATGATGTTTTAATACTTGTGTGCATGTTTGGTTTGGAGCCCTGGGGCTTGGGTGAGTTTCGGATAGGCTACAGAGTGTTTTGAACTTAGAAATTTTGCTGGTATACTTCAGTTCTGTTGTAGAGCCTCTGATCTCGCAAAGCCTCGTATTTGCGACCACTGATGAGTTCGTATTTGAGACCTACTCATCGCATTTGCAAAGAGTAGCTGTGGAGGTCAATGTTTGCAATTGTGAACAACATCTCGCATTTGCGATGGAGTTGGGGAGCAGTGTTCTTCACATTTGCGATCACATGGTCGCAAATGCAGTCTTGCCCATGTTCGCATTTGCGAACTATTTCTCGCATTTGCGAACAATGTAGAGGTGAGAAGGGGTTCACATTTGCAATGCCTCCTTCGCCGGGTCGCAATTGCAACATCTGCAGCTGAAATGAGACTTGGACGAGATTTTTCATGTCAAATTTTCAAAACCTAAACTCCAAGAGGCGATTTTCCTAGAGAAATTTCTTCCCCAAATCATAGGTAAATGATTCTTAACTTATTTCTTCCAATCTATTTTATCATTTTACAAGATTTCATCCTAGAATGTAGGATTTTTCATGGTGGAATTGAGTGTTTTTGGGTAGAATTTAGGAATTTCAAAATTTGAGGATTTAGACCTCAAATTGAGGTCGGATCCCAAAATCAATTGTATATCCAGGCTCAGGGGTGAATGAGTAATCGGGTTTTGGTCCGAATTTCGAGTTTGGACCAAATATGCCCGGGGTTAGATTTTTACTTTTTGGGGAAATTGTTGGAAAACTTATAATTATGCATTGGAATTGATTTCTCTAGCATTTATTGATGTTATTAAGTTAATTATGACTAGATAAGAGTGAATTGGTGGTGGAATCGAGAGGTAAATCGATGATTGAGCTTTGAAATACCCGTTGGCTTGAGGTAAGTGTTTGGTCTAACTTTGACTTGAGGGATTAGGGATCTCCGAATTATTTGCTATGTGAAATTCCATGTGTGTGGCGTATAGGTGTGGTGACGAGTACCTATGCACCACCAAATTATCATTTTAGCATGTTTCCTTCCCCGTTTCCTATTATATTGTTTCCTGTCTTAATTGCTGCTTGCTCATATTCTAATTGCTTCATGTTAACTGTTGTTTTCTCTATTTAAGTATTAATTGTTTCGTAGTTTCATTTTATTACCTTGTTGGTTGAAGTTGGTTTGTTGGTGCTTCATAGTACACTTTGGTTGATCTCGCTGTGTAGGGTTAACTGGTGAAGTTTCATAATTGTAGTGATATCCTATTGTGTTGGTTTGAGGTATAAGTGTTGTGGAGGATTTGAGTTAACTTGTAAAACACTTGTCTTTATTTTATGATTGGTGTTGATATACATTTGGATCGGGTTGCATGCCGCAACAAGAGGAATAAAGGTGAATGTGATTGTCTGGTGGGATCGGGTTGCGCGCCGCAACAAGAAATAATAAGGGTAGACAGGTGGGATCGGGTTGCACGCCGCAACAGGAGAAATTAGGGTGATATATATATTGAGGAGTAATGAGGGTGGACTGGTGGGATCGGGTTGCATGCCGCAACAAGGAGAAATAAGGGTGAATATTTGTACTGTTTTTGATTATATGGTGGGATCGGTAAGCGCGCCACATCAGGTGATATTTATGTATTCTTCCTTTTCTGCTGAGATTTATTATTGTGTTGTTGAAAATATCTTAAGGATTAGTTATAGCTAATTATTGATAGAAAGCCTGGGTCCTGTTTTTACTTAATGCAAGTCATTGTTATATTTCATTTTGTAATTCCTTTTCTGTCTTAGTATAAACTGTTGCTGGTTATATATATTGTTATGCCCCGCTGTAGCCTCGTCACTACTTCATCGAGGTTAGGCTCGGTACTTACCAGTACATGGGGTCGGTTGTACTGATACTTCACTCTGCACTTCTTGTGCAGATTTCAGAGCTAGTGGCTGATCGTGAGGTTGGTTGTTGTTACTGCATTCAGGAGTCCCAAGGTAGTCCTGTAGGCGTCCGCAGGCTTTGGCGTCCCCTCCTATCTTTACATCATTTCTATTTTATAGATGTATTTTCTTTCAAACCATTACTTGTAGTATTCGTAGACTTTTCATGAGTTGTGACACCAGCTTCTGGGTGGTATTTACTTCCGTTTTCGTTAATAGTATAAGAGTAATTAGTTAAATCATGCACTTTTATTTTTATTTCCGTTGTTATGGTTTTATTAGACCTTAATTATAAATGGACAAAACAAAAAGGTGTAAAATTCTACAATGTTGGCTTGCCTAACGAGTACAATATTAGGCGCCATCACGGTCCCGACGATAGGAAATTCGGGTTGTGACAAGTTGGTATCAGAGCACTAGTTTGCCTAGGTTTCACAATTCACGAACAAGATTAGTAGAGTTTGAGGGATATACGGAGACGTCTCTACTCATCCCCAGAGGCTACAGAGTTATGAACAATTTCCCTTCTATTCATCTCTGTCGTGCGGATTGATCTCTCGATACTAATTGAACTCTCTACTCTGTTCTTCCGCAGATGGCGAGAACACGTGCCTCTTCATCAGCTGATCAGTAGCTCGAGCCCCCAGCGGCATCTCCTACGAGGGGTAGAGGACGAGGGCGAGGCAGGTGCAAGGCTCAGCCTAGAGCTCGAGCAGCAGCACCACCAACGGCGAAGCCTCAAGTAGAGTTTGATGATGAGGTTCCGGCCCTGACCGTTCCAGCAGGGCAAGCTCAGGTTCCATAGGGGTTCATAGCTACCCTGGTACTTCAGGATGCTTTGGTCCATCTAGTGGGCCTTATGGAGAGTGTTACTCAGTCCGGCATACTTCTTGTAGCACTAGCCATCTCTCGGGCTGGGGGAGGAATACAGATTCTCGCTACTCACACTCCGGACCAGATGGCTCCTTAGTTTCATACTCCAGCAGCTCAGCCAGTTAGGGTAGTTCTGCCGGGTGTTGTAGCATAGACCGACGATGGATCAGCTATGTCGTTTGAGGCCATATGGAGATTGGATAGGTTTACCAAGCTTTTCACCACTACTTATGGCAGTACATCTTCAGAGGATCCCCAGGACTATTTGGACATTTGTCACGAGGTGTTGCGGAACATGGGGGTAGTGGAGACCAATGGGGTCGACTTTGCTGCTTTTCGTCTGTCAGGTTCCGCCAAGAAATGGTGGAGGGATTTTTGTTTGGCTATACCAGTTGGGTCACCTGCTTTGACTTGGGATTAGTTCTCTCAGCTATTTCTGGAGAAGTTTCTCCCTATCACTCAGAGAGAGGACTATCGGAGGCAGTTCGAGCGCCTTCAGCAGGGTTCTATGATTATCATTCAGTACGAGACCAGATTTGTTGATTTAGCCTTTCATGCTCTTCTTATACTTCCCACCGAGGGAGAGAGAGAGGGTGAGGAGGTTTATTGATGGACTTGCACTACTACAAAAAGGTCTTTGGCGGCAATTATTTAGCGGCAATAGTGTAATTGTCGCTAATGAATTATTTAAGTTAAAATATTAGCAGCACATGATCATTAGCCAGTAAAAGATATACTTTTATCTGCAATAAAAAAATTACCGCTAAAAAGCACTAATTGAAATCAAATTTTTTATTATTTTAAGTTTCTCTCCATACCAAAAAAGAAATCTTTCCCTCCAATTTTTTGGACTTCCCTCCGATTAGAAAATAATAGGAAAATATATTCTCTTTAATTTGAAGGACACATGCAGTCGCCATAGGAAAGCAATTTGAAAGTGAGGCACACCGTAGCAAAACCTACGTGCTTAAGAATATTGCTGCAACAGTCTCCGCCCTGCCACGGTCTCCGACCATCCACGGGTAACTTCTCTTCTTACCCAGCAGGTTTCTTGAAATCGATTTACAATTGATTTTGGGTTGATGCTACTCGAATATTCTCAATCGTCGTTGTCAACCTTCTCTTTCTCATCCGTTTCCAACTTCTCTTTTTGTGTAGGTTTCAAGATTATTGCAGTAATCATTCTTCTCCTTCAATTTCTTGTCTATCGGCAAAAAATTCTGCTTACCAGGTACCAATTTCTAATTTTTGATATCCAACTATGGCGTTTTGGGATTTGTGAAAGTATAGCTTTTTTGTGTTTGCTAAGTTGTTTGTGATATCTGCCTGATGTTAGATTGATAGTCGATTGATTGAATTGATTCTTCCTCTATTACTCTATTGTTGTTTTTTTGTTTGCTGCTGTTTTTTTGTTTTCTTTGATTGATAGCTGTTTTTGTTGTTTTCTCTAATTGATAGTTGTTTGTGCTAACTGGTTTATATAGTGTAACTAGCAGCAGAAAACAAATTTCCGTTTACTTATATATATTATGTCTTCAATGCAATTTGCTCTATTTTAGTGTATTTGGGAGGGGAAAGAAAAGATGTTGTGGCTGTGGAGAGGTATTGTGATTGAATCTGTTTCACATTCCAAATTGAGGTTCTTAGAATGGTATTGTGATTGAAGCTGGTGGTAAATTGCATATCCCTTTCACTGTTGTCAGGGTATCTGCAAATTTTATTGTGATTGCTGTTCCAATTGCCTTTATGTAGTAGGTTTATTAACCACAATGTATAGTTGCAAATCTGATCCATATGCAGTAGGTAACAATGTAGTTCCTGAGTTACTAGTTGCAGCTCTTCTCATTGCTAAATGAACTAGTAGTAGCAATCTAATGACAATGACATGACCTTACACGTAGAGCAACAATCTGGATAACTTAAAGCTTCCAAAAAATAAGGGAGCACAACTCCCTTTTTCTTTGTCCCTTGGCCTGCTAACCCTCAATGAATTGACTAGTTTTAGTAAGTAGGGAAAATTCTAAACACGGTGAAGCATGTTCTATAAACACTTGTGTGTTTGTTGGTTTCTATTAATTTTGTGATGTATCTAATTGAGCTGCTAATGCTACGGATATACTTGCCACTTGCGCATATTTCTATTTAATTTGATGTATCACAACTTTTGGAATAGAATGATTTTGTTTAAGTAGGTTGTAAGTTGTAATGCTAAAACTTATGAATATAACATCTGAATACTTAGTTGGTCTCTTTTGAGCCTTGCACTATTAGAATGGTTGTTAGTGTGAGATTGTAGTTAAGAGGCCATTCACTGTCTGCAGATGGTGCCGTAAAACAACAGCTGAAAAAATGTAAGAGCAAGAATACCCCTTGGTGCAAATTAGATTCGATCTATCAATGCCTTCTTAGTCAGATGACTATGATATCTGTATTATATCAAGCATTATCAATCGTTCCCTTTTTTTTTCCTGGTTTTGGGGAAGGAGAGGTGGTGCTAAGGCAGGAGCAGATAAAATGTTGTGAACTAAATGGGTAATTACAATTTAGAGCTTCCTTTAGCTTTAATGGGGTCAACTGGTCAGTATTACATCATAATTGTCTAATGTGTTAAGAGCACATTTAGTCTACGATCTTTGTCTCAGAATGTAGATCAATATTCGATTTTCCAAACTATTTATGCATCATGTAGTGTACGTAGCATCAAATGTCAAAGAAGGTCCTCTTAATAACTCTTCAGTAGAACTACTTTTGCATTTTTGCTTATTGGTAGACCTTGCCTTCACTCAATTATCCAAACAAGGCGCCAAGGATTTGCGTGAAGCAAAATGAATTATGACTTTCTTATTGGATTCTAAAAGACCTATCTTCCTTGTAGATAGTTGTATTGAGCTGTTCCTTGGTAAGCAAATGACATAAGCTGGCTTCGAGAATTTGTTTACTTCTTAAGTGACAGAAACATCATGTGTGAATTTGGGTAGCTCGTATGGTAAATGTTCACTTGGAGCTAGTAATATTTAGTCCCAAGATCAATGATGATACTCATTTAGGTGGCCCAAGGTTCTGTCTTTTCATCATCTTACCGGTAGTTGAATCTCTTTCAGGTTGTTAAGTGATAGAAAGTCTCTATTAGGTATTAGTCTTCCTTTGTTTAACTGGAACAAATCTACAATCATATATTAAATTAAGGACACCACAGTCGTAGATGATGTATGTAAGTTTTGCTTTCTTTTGTGTCCAGTGTACAAAAACAAATATACTTCTAACAAGGCTAGAAATACAAAAGATGTTAAGACTAGTTTCGCTTAGGTATTATCTAACACTTGATAGTCATTCTTTTTCTGAAGAAATAAGCTAATAAACAGGTGGTTCTTATACCAAGTAGTTCTTCACTCTCAGCATCTCATTCTTCAGTCTTGATTGTAAAAATCTCATTAGTATTTGACAGTTGCGCTAGTGTCAATTAGAATTCTTCATGTTATTTTCCTAGATTATAATGGATTGGAATTTTGCTTGTGAATAAAGTTCACTACAATATGTGAATTCCATGTTCATTGGAGAGAATAGCTTTGTGATTGGTTAGGCCTTTCAGAGTATTGATGGTCTCACACTCATTAACTTTATATCTGCTTAATGGTTAAAAAAATTATTATTGACTAAATCAGAAAACTAGACTTTGAATGAGAAATCAAAATTACCTCTGAGAGCACAAAAGATGATTTCCACAGTTCTGGAGATCACACATTTCCTTGAATCATTTTTGAAAAATCTTGATACAAAATAATTTATGAAATTAAAAGGAGTGATACACCCCATTCTCCATTCCAGTGTATTAAGTACCAAGAGCTCCATTCTCTGAATCACTCTGCTCTCAAAAATGTATTCTTCCTTGGGATATTCTGTTAACGTTGGCACTTTTCATTCCTCCATTTTTGCAGCCAAAGATAAACTTGTTGATCTTAGCCTCGCATCTTAGAGTGCTTGGCATTGATGACCAAATTTAGTTCTTTTAGCCGAATCCTTAGGAATACATGCGCTATTGCCGACAGGAAGTATGTAAGCAGGTTACAGAAGTAAGATTTATGTCCCGACATCATTTATTTAATCTAAGCATGTACTTGAATTAGAACAACAAACTGCAAAGAGTATGGATAAGCTTGGTCACCTTTGTTATTAGTCACCACTCACCACCCACCAATAATTTGCTCTGCTTAGCCTTACACTTAAAAATAACCAAGAGATGCCACAAATGTAATGATGCTCTCATGTCAACAAGATAATACTCAATCTAATTTACTCCAAATTGCGAGCAGAGGAGAGCGAAAATGGGTAAATCCTTCATTAAGTTATCAGTAGGTTCCAAAGAGTTGAATTGTTGTAGGACACTTATCGTGCATTTATAATACTCCGTCTTTTTCATCATTTTAACACTAGTTGAATCTCTTTCAATATGTTAAATGATAGGAAGTTTCCATTATTTAGCTGCAATGAACCTGTAACCACAAATTAAATTAAGAGAAATGACATGCAACCTAAATGCGGTGAATAAGTTTTGCTCTCCTTTTTACCCATTGTACAGAAAATGTACTAGTGACAAGACTGGAAAGATAAATGTTATTTGTTTTAATTAGGTATTATTTTTGGTAATCCATTTGGTCTTTGTATTATGTGAATGACTTGGTTGAGCAATCACTGTTGTCAGTGGTTAGTGTATGTTCAAAGTAGAACAGAACAAATTAATTAATATACACGAATAGTAAACTAGAAAATATTTCAAGTGAAAGAACAAATTAATAAGATTACCCAAAATGAAACAGAACTATTAATTGATATATGAAGATTTCATTTATTTCAAGTCTAAATGTCACCTATAACATTCTCACATCTTGAGTACCTACTATTTTAAGAATAATAAGTTTAATATGATCCATCTATAGCTTAATTTATGCATTGATGTAATAAATCTTCAACATTTCCATATTTTAGGAAAAACTTACCTGTTGACATATATTTAGTGTTGAAACATATACTTTTTTTGCTTTCTGTTATTTTTTCATGATACTATTATTCAGTAGATTTCAGAGCATCTCTCAAGTGCTTAACTGTATAAGTTATTATACTTATTATTGCTGGAAATACTTCACTTTCTCACGGTACTACTCATCTTTATCCTTTAGCTCACTACTGTTTTAGTTTTTTTTACTGTAGATCATTAAACAAATCTTCTTTTATGATCTTAGTATATAAACGTTTTCTTCTTCCTTTAAAGATTTCATATATTCATTTGTTAAATATTATTACATGTCTTTCAAACTTATTACATCTCTTTCCTATTAAATGGGGAGATTTCTGCTGGAAAGACATTTCCTGAGAAAAAGGTTTGTTAACTGAGTTAATTTCTTAAATAGAATAAAACAGACATTCCTTACTTAAAAAAATGTGTCTTCTACTTCCCACTGTTAGTAGGTGTCAGTAGGTCTCTGATCAAAGCTACTTTATCTACTATGTTCATATACATCTGATTGAATGTTGTATATAGCCATCTCTAGATGTTCAAATCTTTTTAACTGAGCAGCTTCTTTGCTCCTGAAAGTATGATTAATTTTGTTTGTCAGTTAAAAATATAGATATCTGACATGTATGAATACTGAAAGCTATTACGAAATAAAAAAAGCATCTACAATGCTGGTTGTATTAATAACTGCCTATTATTTCATTCATAGCTATGATGTACTGCAAAGTTTGGACCAAAAGCTGAGCATATATGTGTCTTCTGCTGTCCTAAATCCAGAATAAGAGTTGAGTATCATGAAATGTATCAAACATTCTGAGTGTATGACTAGAAACAAGCATGTTAAATTGATCGTTCTAAGAAATGAGTATTGCTCCCGACCTACCCATCCCCCACATCGCCCCCCCCCCCCCCCAAAACCCTCTTGCTCTCTCTTCCTTTTATTTGCGAGAGTAGTCGTGACTTGTGATCAGAAAATACAAATTTCCCCAGACTGTTGGTCAGTGAAATGTTTTAACTTTAGTTAGTAAAAATAGAATTACTTAAGATTACTGTATGTTATTATATCTCTGTTTGGATTGTATGAACTGGTTCTTCATTGAAAGCTAGCAGAGTAGTAATCTTCAGTTGTGAACTAGTTTCTCCTGCATTATTTTCAATATACAGCAGCTTTAAACTAGTTGGTTAACATTAGGTTTTGAAATTCAACTGGAAAATTTGGATAGTTTGAGCTGGTTTTGAGACCAAAAATTAAACTGTTATTCTACAGTACGTTTTTTATAGCTTGGGCAGTGTTTTAACAGCACAAAAATTGAGGTTCACAGAAGATCTATAGCGTCTTCTTAAATGAAATCCGCCAAGTCTTGCATAAATTTTATATATTTTTGCTTTCTACGTTGGTGTGATCTTCTCTAGCTTGCATTCCTTTTATATTTAGTGACTGCTAGTTGAAGAAGATTTGCTTGCTTATGCGTACATCTACAATGCTCATATATTTCATCTATTGACATAGTTATTTTATAATTTCAGGTCATACAGTCTGATGATCGATAATTTAGCGGGTCAAAAATTTCAATATGATGAAGATTTGCAAATATTACTTGAAGATTATATTCGTTGGAATTAGTCATATAATGACATTAACTATTTCTTTCAAATAGTATAAGTTTTTTTGAGTTACTGTGGTAGTAATATTTTCGATTAGTACTTTCTTTTGTTTGTTAAAATTTAATGAGATACATTATGTTTTTATGAATTAATATTAGTATGTTTTGTTATTTGGAACCTTGTTTGAACGAATGTATTATCTATTATTAATGGTGGCTAAACTATTGCCATTATAGCTTGTGACTTTTAGCGCCAATTTAATAGGATATATCGATTATAAAAATGGACTATAAAAGGAAAAATTGTGATATCTCCGCAGGAGATATTGTAGCCATTATAATTGCTGCTAAAGATGATTTTTAGCGGCAATTTAATTGAATTTACTAGCCATTAAAATGGATACTAAAAGGGCATACTAATACGTTTTTAGAAGGGATATTATAGCCATTTTAATTGCCACAAAACATTTACCACTAAAAGTATGGACTTTTAGCGACAATTTTTTTTTGAATTTAGTGGCTATAAAAATGGACACTAAAAAAACATTAGCAGTTGTTTTAGCTTAGATTTAACAGCCATCATAATATTCGCAAACAATTGCCATTAAAGCAAATTATATTTAGCGGCAATAAGTCATACCTTTTATCAGCTTTTGTGATAAATGCCGCTAAAGGCTTTAGCGACCCTGGCTTCATCGGCTAAAGATCAATGGTCGTTAAATGATATAGCGGCTATTGTTATTACCGCAAATTCCCTTTTTTTATTTTCGCCAAAGACCTTTTTTGTAGTAGTGTTGCTCAGCCTATCAGATTGCAGATGGCTAAGCAGATAGGGAGTGAGATTTCTTTTTAGGATGCAGCCAATGTGGTCAAACGAGTAGAGATGGTTCTATCATAAGGGAATGGTCAGGGGTCTGACCAGAGGCCTCATCACTCTGGTGGATTCAGTGGGGCCTCATCTGGAGGCCGGGGTACTTTTGATAGGGTCCATCCTCCCAGGTCGTTTCATTCAGCACTTCAGACATCCCATGGAGCTTCAGGGGGTCGTGGTCCTTATGTACTGTGAGCACGTGATTTTTGTTTTACGCGACAATCGCTCCAAAAGAATTAAAAATGTATGTGTCATGCGTAATTTAAACCATGACCCGTTTGTTAGATGGAAAATTACAAAAATATGCATTTTTTCTTTTGTCCTGATTTGTTGCCTTGTTTAATTTTACCTACTTTTAACATTTTATACGCGTGAAATAAATATGTTAAGTGTTAATTAGTGGTGCTTAGTTTTATTTAATTAGGTTGTGTATTTAGGAAATTAGAAATAAAGAAAAAGAAGACAAAAATTTGTTATAAAATGAATTTGGGCCGTGCCCATTTCAAAATCTGGAACCCAAGCAAATAGCCCAATCCACCGGTCCACACAGCCCACTCCCCAGACATCAAAACGACGTAGTTTAACACCAAAACTA